CTTCCTGCTCGTGCGGTGTCTGGCGCGAGAGGGACGGGGCCGTTTCCCCTCTGGCCGGCAGGATACCCCTTCCCTGTCACTGGGTTCGAGTTCATGGCCTTTGACTTCGCTTCTCCTTCTTCCGCACTGGTCACACTTTGAGCCGTAAGGATCCCTCTTCCTCCAGCTGCTGGCCTTGCTTTAGGACTCTGCTTGCCAGGGACAGCACACGGAGTTTGTGGAGGGGACTGGTCCTGACCCTTTTTCTGAATGTCATGGCTATTAACGTGGCCAGAATCACTGGGTTCGAGTTCATGGCCTTTGACTTCGCTTCTCCTTCTTCCGCACTGGTCACACTTTGAGCCGTAAGGATCCCTCTTCCTCCAGCTGCTGGCCTTGCTTTAGGACTCTGCTTGCCAGGGACAGCACACGGAGTTTGTGGAGGGGACTGGTCCTGACCCTTTTTCTGAATGTCATGGCTATTAACGTGGCCAGAAAAATGGTTGTTAAATAACAGTGCCTATTTCTGCAGTATTCCTAGCCCCTGTTGAAGGTGATGGTGAAAACAGACATGAAAAGTGAACGTGAGCCTTTTGTGTAGTAGCAAAGAGCCCTTAAGCCTGATGAGTGTACCCAGGGTAAGGGGTGGAAAAATCTGCAATCAAACTACGATGTTCCATATTGCTGTGCCTATCAAGTTGGTTCCTTGCTCTTTTGATATCACTCATCATGGGGCCTAATAGAGTTTAGGAAAATAGGATTCAGTTGAGCTCTGATTTTGGGGAACAAGTATAAGACCTCATTTAATCATAAAATAGAAAATATATGAATGGTCCGGGATTGATATTTGAGTACTTGATTTAGTAGAATGGGGTTAAGAAATGGCAATACCTCAAGTTTTTCCTGGAAAAGACTAGTAGGGATTAAAGAGAAGGAATTGGGTCCTGACAGAGAGCAAATAAAATATACTTACTCCTTGTCTTATTTCTCCTTTGACTGATTTTTGAGTCAAGAAATGTGCCTGTTTGCTATATTCAAATGTATTTCCCCTTTTCTCAAGATGAAGTTGAACAATGTTTTGTTAAAATTATCTTTCCCAATAGACTGGATAATCTAAGAGCTCCACTTCAATTTTATATTCACATCAGACATACATATAAGTAACTCCCATCTGAAATATAAAGATCCTTTCAGTTACATTGCAGAGAATAGGGCCTTTTTGTTTTTCCACTGTAAGCTTTCTAGTTCAGTGAAAAGCAGGTCTTGGGGTAAATGGTTTGGTGAATCTCAGATGACTTAGTCCCTAGCTGTTTTTAGAGTTAAGTGAAGAGTAATGGTATTCAGAACTATACATAGGTATTTAAAGGGACGCTATCCAGATTTTGAGGCATCAGCATTTGACCTGCCTTTACATATAATCCTATTTTGAGTAAAAATATGCTTTTAAAAAACTTTATTTTCAGATTTTATTAAGCCATGTTTTGGGTAGAACCTACAGAAATACAATACTTTGTTCTCTTTAGAATTATGCTGACGTTGATTCACCTTGCATCATCAAAATGTATTATGACAGGGTTTAGAGTGACCACAGGAAAGGTATTTATAATAATCTTATTTCATATCCATGAAAAATGAAGGTGGGAGAAAATAGTCTTGTCAAAAAGAAAAGGACAGAGTCAGGAATAGGGAAACTACTTGACAATGAATCTTACAAAAAAAAGTTTTAATTCACAGAAAGCTATAAATTATGGGCTTTGGCCCTGATCTCATTCCAAGTAATATTTGGCTTTGTTGCATAGCTTTATGAATTGCTACAAAAAGTCACAACTTTTTGTAATATAAACTGGATTGTGTGTGTGTGTGCGCGCGCGCCTGTGCATGTATCAGATAGTGAAACAGTAACAAGTATTTCTAATATTGAAAACTCTATTCCTGAATGGTTCCATACCAAAAATTCAGCACATCATAACTTTAAAAAAATTATTTCTGAGATCTAAAACAATGTTTTTTATGACTTGCAGTAATGGAAAATTGTATGGTGGGATTTGAAAGATAATTAGATAGTCCACTTACTGTGTTAGACAAACTTCAGTTGGATGTTTACTTTCTAGTTGCACTCAATTCTTGTTGCAGAGTCATTTAGATCTGGATTTTTGTGTGTCTTGTCCTGAATAAGTTGTTAATGACCTTAATAACACTGATATGGTGCAGTTTTACTTTAGCACTTGAATAAGATGCTGTAGCATTAAGTTCTGGAGGTAGCTGCATTTCAGTTATTGGTGAAGTGAATCAGTCACCACTGAACAAGGACAAATAATGCCATGCAAATAAGCAGAATTACTCTAGGTTTACAATTGAAATTGTAATCTGTTCCATATCAGTAATAGGGTTGTTAAATATCAAGTAATTGACTAATCAAATAGTCGATGCATTTTGCAATGACTATTTGATTAGTCGATAGGGCGCCTTCCACCTTTGAATTGTAGCAAAAGCCCTACACTTCAAAGGTGGAGGCACTGCATGGAGCCCAAGGTCAGCTGTTGACTCCCCCGTTGATCCTGGGCTCCATGCAGAACTGCAGCTTTGAAGCATTGCAGGGAGCCCGGTGTCAGGCTCCTCACGACGTTTCAAAGTGGCAGCGCCCTGTGGAGCCTGGGGACTCCTCCCGCTGACCCTGGGGGCTGCATGCGGCATTTCAAAGTGGCAGCACCTTGTAGAGCCCAGGGTGTGGTCCCAGGCTCCACGTGGTGGTGCTGCTTTGAAGTACCCCTTTCTCTCCCTCCACCCTCCCACCTCTTTCTGATAGGCAGCAAGGAGAGGGGAGAGTGACTAGTTGGCTAGCCTGTCGACTATCCGATAAGCATTTGCTTATCAGATAGTCATTCACGTCCCTAATCAGTATGTGAAATGTGAGGTACCTCAGGATCAAAATATGATGTGTTGGGGTATTAAATGCTAAAATACTCACTTTTTGGAAAGCCAATCTAAAGCTATATATGTGTAAGCAGAGCCACATGGAACTGAATCTCTTGACACTGCATTGTGGTTTTGTGTGTTGATGACAGTAAAACCCTTAGGCTGTGTCTACACTGGGCCACTTATTCTGGAATAGCAGCCGTTTTTCCGGAATAAGCTGCGAGCTGTCTACACTGGCCGCTTGCTTTTCCGGAAAAGCAATGATGATCTAATGTAAAATCGTCATTGTTTTTCCGGAAAAACTATGCTGCTCCTGTTTGGGCAAAAGTCCTTTTCCGGAAAAACTGTTCCGGAAAAGGGCCAGTGTAGGCAGCACAGTAGTCTTTTCCGCAAAAAAGCCCCGATCACGAAAATGACGATCGGGGCTTTTTTGCGGAAAAGCATGTCTACATTGGCACGGACGCTTTTCCGGAAAAAGTGCTTTTCCGGAAAAGCATCCTGCCAATGTAGACGCGCTTTTCCGGAAATACTTATAACGGAAAAACTGTTCCGTTTTAAGCATTTCCGAAAAGGGGTGCCAGTGTAGACGTAGCCATATTATTGTCCAAATATCTAAGACCTCAAACTTGCAAACATTCATGCATATATTTTAATTTTTACTCATCTGCGGTAGTGCTGTTGTCCTCAGCACTAAATTACCCACGTTCATACCTTCAAGCTTTAAACTAGCTTAGTCTGAAGAATGAATTCAATAAACATGACAATGCTTCTGTAACTAATAACTTTCACTGACAGCCCTAAGGTCATAAAATATTCAAATCACTGTTTAATGAGGATGGTTGTAAATTACTTTGTTTTATATTATTAAATATGTTAAAAATAAGCAGCCATTTTATCTGAAACCGAATAGGACTACATTTATATACAGGAAAAACTGACTGCAGCCTAATCAGCATTTTAACTTTGGTGTTTTAAAAAGCATCAGATTAACTGTAAATGTACCTTGCCTTCCAGAAGTGTAATCCTCTTTTCTTATTCTGCTTTGTCACTCTAGCTTGTATTGGGAAATAACTTCCAAAGGACAATTAGTTAACATTTAAAAACATATTTTTTGCCAGTGTTACAAATAACACCGTAGATTATTAAAATAAAAACACATCTACTTTAGTTTTGACTTGAGTAGATTTTACTTTTTTTCTCGGGTTAGAAAAGGTAAATATTTTTTGTTGATAGCTTCTAAATAGTTTCATTTGCTATGTATTAGTATAATATTCCTTTGTTTCAGTGGAAATACTGCAGGAATCTAGTCAACTTGAGTTTAAAAGACGTCAAATACTCTTTCTTGTCTGAAGATTTTTCAGAAGCTTCTATATCATATCTAAAGTTAAAATAAAGTTTGACCTGACACTATTTTAAGTAGCAGCTTCTACTGAGATCTGGCACAATAGTGAAACAATAGGTTTTTCTGAGAACTGTGTAAGATGTATTTTAAGTGAACATTTTAAATTATAATTGCTAACTATTTCATGCTAATCTGCTTCAGTTTTCAATAGTTTGCAACTTTTGTAGACCAGAAAAAACATTCTCCTCCCTCCACCGCTCCCCTCCCCCATCGGATAATGAATCATTACATATGAATCCCTACTTTTTAAAATAATCAAGTAAAAATCAAATGCAGGGTGAAATGTATTCCTTGAGATAAGTTGTACTAATTTCTAAGTAGCCTTGCCAGGTGTTAAAGAATAAAAACTCATATCTTTCACGTTTTCTCAGTAGTGTTTAAGAAATGGGATTCAAGTTTTTTCCCTTCATCCAAATATTTCTGCTTTGACTCTGGTAAAAAATTGTGGCTTCTGATCTGCCTAGCACAAGTTCTGATACTGATACCAGTTTTTCCCTGTTCTTGATCTGTATGTTGACTAGGGCATGTTGATGAGGTGAAAGAGAGGTGGTGAAATAGCTTCTATACTTTTAGTATCTAACATTATCATTGGAGAAATGAGAATTGGGTGATAGACTACCGAATGGAGCTAGAGTCCTGAAGACCTTCCCAGACCTTGTGTCTAGAAGTATTGTAAGGGCATTTTCAGAGTAATTCAAGTAGCAATATTTGTTCTAACTTAAAGATGACTGTGTAAGCATCTGAAGAATCTACAAATGACAGAGCTGGGAACTCCTTTTTAAAATTGATTAAAAAAAATTATGTTGGTATCCCTAGGTTTGGTAGTCCTCTGCCCCCAAAGAAATTTGGTAATCCAGGGGAGCGTCTACGCAAAAAGAAGTGGGACCTGAATGAGCTGCCCAAATTTGAGAAGAACTTTTATGTGGAGCATCCAGAAGTGGCCAGGCTTACTCCTGTAAGTTTCCTACTGCTGTTCTTTCCATTTTCAGAGCACAAGGGTATCTTTTTTTTAAAAGAGGAAACACTTATCTAGAGGTTGTGCAAACTGTATTTTAATCATATTCTCCCTTTCCTCATATTGTTTTGCATATACACTCCACAGAAAGATTTCTTTGAATGCTTACTCATGTCCATTCCTATGTAGGTGAGCTCCTTAATGGACTTTGATTGTACATGGGTATCTTTATTCATAGTAGTTACGTTTCAGTTGCTAAGATAGCTAGTTAGATTAATGAACTCTGCTCAGTGGAGTTAGTCCCTCTTGACATTTGGGTACATCTTGTGCTTCGTGTCACAAATTGAAGTCTGTCAGTGACCCCCATTCCAGCTGCCTTGTGCTTAGAGCAGCTGTGGCCAACCTGCGGATACAGCTCATGATGATGCATCCCCCGTCGGTTTCCTCACGGCACTGTTTGCTGGCACTAGTCAGTATTGCTCCAGTCTGGTTGCCTGGAAGGGAATCCTTGGAGATGGGCTCAGAGGTGGAGTTGTACGTCTCCTGCAGAAGCTGGCACCAACACTCGAACCAATATCACCCAATGGCAGACCTGTTCCAGTGCATTTCCACCAGCAGTTTGGACACCAACACAGTGGCAAGTGCCACTGTAGTGGCCATTTTGGATCACCTGGGCTTTTGTTCTAGTCTTTACTCCATTGTGTTTGTATTTAACCCCAGCACCCATCTCCGAGAAGGACCTGGGTTTTGTTATTGAACTCTAGGAATGTTAAAGTGTAACTCTTGCCCACACGGTTCCTGGGGAGGAGGCTTCACTGTGGCAGCTCCCACTGGCAATATTGGAGCAGTCTCGTCTTTAGGACCCCAAACATCAGTGCCTTTCATCATAGATGCTTTTGGAATGGGCTTGGGAGTTCACTTTCGAACCTTTGTCCACATGCTCATTCTTTCATCTCTCTGTCAAGATCTCTTGTCTCAGCTGTAAGTGGATCTGAGATACACTGCCTTCTATTGTAACAGGATCACAGTATGCTCCCATCTGCATTTCCTGCTCAAGGTCTTGTGATGGTTGAACACCAAACAGGATATCAGTCTACCAGTGTTCTTTCCCAAATCTCACCCCTTGTAGGAAGAGACTTGCCTCTAGAGAGGTAAAAATCCATTAAAACAATCAATTGGTTAAACAGTTAGAATTATACCACTTAACTGGTTAACCGTTGAGAGCTCCTGCCCCTGCCAGTTGCTTCACTGCAAGTTGGGACTGCTCTGACCAGGCCTGCTACGGCTGAGGACATGCTGGCTGGGCCTGCCATGCTGTGACACGGGTGCTGCTCTGGCCAGGCCAATTCACTAGTTACCAGGTAAGCATTCTTGTAAGCCTAATGCTTACTGGGTAACTGGTTAATCTTTTACATCCCTACTTGCCACCACACATTTAGATGTTTTGAGATCCCTGGTCTATCTCCATGGTGTCCAACCAGTTCTGAAGCAATAGCCAACTGTTAAAGTGAACTAGCCATGCTCAACCGTCCAAATAGCCACATGTGGCTAGCACAGGGTTGGGCAAAATAGGATGTCTTGGCCACAGCAGAGAGCCTCAGGCAGATTCCCTGCTTGTCCTGACCCCTGCCACTCAGAAAACCTGCTCATGGGCCATTTGCATGTCTCACCTGTGAGCTGGGGGGAGGTGGGAGAGGCTTCAGACACTGCTCCCTCCCCTAACAAAATCCCATTGGTGGTTTCTGGCTAATGAGAGCTGTCTGTTGGAAGAACAGGCAGCCTGCAAAGCACCACTTCCCCCTTGGCTCAGGCTCTTATTCACAGATGCGCATGGCCCCTGCAGCCCATGCAGGGGTGAGGTTGGCTCCTGCCTGAGAAACATACTGAGCTGCTGGCTGGGAGTCACCCAGGTAAGTCTCTCAGCCAGAGCCAGCTTCTGGCACCCCACCCCTATGCTCCCCCATCCTACCTCACATAAGCCAAACTCTCTGCACCCACTCCTGAGCCCATACCTACTCCCACATTTTGCACCCCAATCTCCCGACTCAGATTACAGTCGCCTCCTAACCCTAGGTCACAACCCAAACCCCTGGATCCCAATCCTGTGTCCCAGGTCATAACTGTTTCCTTCACTCTAACTCCCTCCCAGACCGTCCTGCATCCCAGTTCCTTACCTCAAGCTCCCTTCTGGATCCAAGCTCCATCTCCAACCCTGCATCATCTTTTTTAATAATCATGGAAGAATGCAACCCTCGATCACTTTCCAAAATCTTAGAGTGGCCCCCTCCCCATCAAAAATTGTCTACCCCTGGGCTAGACATCACGAGTCTATCTGGACAGAATGAAAGAACAGTCAGTTGCCACTCAAACTGTCAAAATGGGTTTCAGGTTATATCATAGCTTGCTTTGTGGCTTCCAGGGTACAATCCCCACCTCCATCTTACAACTCCACTCCAGCAGGATTGTCTGCTTTTTTGCTCTTCTTAAGGACATTCATATTCAATGCTGCAACCTGGTCCTCAGTTCAAATGTTCTCCTAATGTTACTCTTTGTCCAAGGTGGATGCAGCCTTTGGCTACTGCCCTGGATACACCTCCTCAAACAACAGTTCAGCAAATAGGTGGATGCTGTGAGCCTTCTGTGGTGGAGCACCACCCATAAGACTATGTACTTGAAGAAGGAGAGTGTCCCTGTAGCACCTTAGAGACTAACAAAAAAATATATATATATGTGTATATATAGAGTATCATGAGCTTTTGTGCGCACAACCCACTTCTTCAGATAGCCTTTCAGTAATTTGAGTTCCTTGAGATGTCGTCTTCTAAGGGTGCTTTGCCTCCTGCCCTGCTTGCAGTAGTGTGGAGTATTTGTCTGTGTAGTTAAGGACCTGGAGCATCAGTAAATCTATGCCTCCATATACACCCCTACTTGGGAATGAGAGGCTTTGCAGTGCATGGGTGTAGGCTCAGGTACACATCTGATTCAGATCATCAGTTGAGAACTGAGGGAGTGCACACATACTATGATGATGCCTCAATGGGGACAAAAAATCCTGAACTCAAGTTACTGAAAGATAAAGTATCCTTCCTGAATTGTCTGTCTTACACAATGCAAAGGAATCAAAAAAGATATACCATCACATTTTTAGATGGATATAAATTTTTAACTCATCACATGTTTGTGTTTTCAGGATATTCTTCTCTGTCTGTGAGGAGTCTCAGAAATGGGAAAGTAACCATAGGTTTAATCCAAAATATGCTGTAATGGGAGTTTGTCTATTGACTTCAGTATGTTTTGGATTAGGGCCCATTAGGGATGTTAAATTGCGTTTAACTAAATCGACTAGTCAATGGAAATTCCATCGACTAGTTAAGGAGAGAAACTGCAGAGCCTCAGCAGGGTTAGCTCCCAGTGTCCCTGCTTTTTACATGTACTAAGAGCCTAGCGGCTCTTAATACATTTAAAAAGCAGAGGTACAGCGTCTGGGACCAGGTTTGAGCTGGGAATCAGCTGATTCTCAGTTCATGCCCGGTCCCCCGCTGCACCTCTGCCTCCCCTGCTCGCCACAGAGATAGTGCTGAGGCTGGAACTGGCTTTTAAGCCTGCTCCCCTGCCTTGCTGTCTCTCTGTTAGAGGCAACGGGGGGAGAGGGAAGAGAGACTAGTCAAGTCACTACTTGACTATCTGATAAGCATAGGCACCTAGTTGCTTGCATCCGATGGCCCCATACTAGGGAAACAGTTGAAACTGACTTTGTGTGAATTAAACAGGAAATGGAGAAATATTTTTTCTAATCCTTCAGTTATGCTAACCTGATATATTATTCATGATAATAAATAGGTACTGACATTTTCTGAAATAAATTTGTATCGCACTTTAAAAATGTTTGATATGTTGTTGTTGCTACATTTGAGTAATGTTTTCCACAAGAAAGGAAATGTTTAGATGTGGTTCTGAGCAGCATTTCTGGGTCATAACTTCTACAGCACAGTACTCTGTATGTAGCTCCCATTAAAGGGCACTGATGGAAAGAGAGGAACCATTCTTCTTCATCCTGCCATCCTTACTGAGTAGAAATCTAGTTTGCTTCTGTATACAATCAGACCTCTCAACCTGTCAGCTAAATCATTTGTGGAATGTATTAATAGTTGGCATCAGAAAGGTGCATTTCTCAAACTGGGAACTGGGATCTGTGAGGATACTCCACAGGGTCTGGTGGCCCCACTGATCAACATGGGGGAATAAGCGCAGGAGGCACTGGGGAGGAGCAGAGACAGGTGGGTTCAGGAGGTGGTGCAGAGAGGAGACCTGGCGGAAAGGAGTGGAGTGGGGGTGGCGCCTGGGCTGAGTGGGGTGGTGTTTGGGGAGTTTGCAAAAAAAGTTAAATTAAAATGGGGATCCTTGGGTTGCTAACGTTTGAGACCCATTGTGTTAAAATGTTGCTGGCATTTTATGTATGATGTTTTTCCCCACCTAAATAGTATGAAGTTGAAGAACTGCGACAAAAGAAAGAGATTACAGTTAGGGGAACAGATGCCTGCCCCAAACCTGTGTTTGCCTTCCACCATGCTAACTTTCCACGTGAGTATTCTGTTATTCATGATGCTGTTCAGCTTTGCTGATGGTGTAAGGGAGGAGTGCCGGGAAAACACCTTGTTTATCAGACAGACCTGTTTGGTTCTTGAAAGACTTTTTCAGATCTGCTGTAGCTTTAGAGAGCTTAATTTGAAAAGTAAATCTTTAAGGAATCCTCCCGCTTGTCATATCTGAGACTCATAAAATGAGAAACTTGAAATTGCTCCCAGACTAGGTTCTAGGAAGATTTCCCCAATATCTTTGTCTTTGAACTGACAGACTTTTATTCAGATGTACGTTGTTTGTGTGCTTCACTTTTTCTTTTCTTTTAAATTTGTAGAGTACGTCATGGATGTCTTGATTGATCAGAATTTCACGGAACCTACTCCAATTCAGTGCCAGGGCTTCCCATTGGCCCTCAGTGGTAGAGACATGGTGGGCATCGCTCAGACAGGCTCTGGGAAGACATTGGCAGTACGTGTTTGATAGTTTCTTCTTGCTTTGCATCTCTTTTCATTCAGACGTGCAGAGTGATAGCATTTGAAAGCATGTTGTGCCTGTGTTGTAGGTGAGAATGTTTAGTAATGAGCATATGGTTTGCTTTGTGTGCCTGATATTGTCTGTTTTCTGTCTATCTGTCCTGCCCTTGTATTTCTATATTTAGAGGGAAGCATGTTTTTTGTTTAACGTTGACAGCACGTACTAGTTGACTTAAGTTAAAATCAAAGGATAGTATAGGCACATACTTCCAACTGACATAGGTTGCGGTTATAGGTGCTTATTTATTCAGAAAATCAGGCTCTTTTTAAAAAATCTATTTAAATGTAGACATCCAAGTTTGTAAGCTTTATTTTGCAGCCACTAGAGCATGTGGTACTTGCTGCTACTTGAGGAAGGACATTAAGCTAAATTCGCCCTTACCAGGATTCAGTATGATAGTTATTAGCATGGTCTAATATGGAAAACTGTCAATTTTCATTAACTTTCTTCTGTTTCAGTACTTGTTGCCTGCAATTGTTCATATTAACCACCAGCCTTATTTGGAGAGGGGAGATGGTCCAATTGTGAGTGCTGCTCAGTTTTCTTTCTTTTTACATGTATAATATGTAATTAACAGAATCGTATAGTAAGGATGTGAATAATTAATAAGGATGACGTTTACCAGTTCTGGTTAACCGTTGGGGGGCTGGAGTATGGCCGCTCCAGTCCTGCGGGGCTCATCACAGGCCAGGGTATCACTCCAGCCCAGCTGGAACAGACTGGAGTGGCCCCCCCCCCCCCCCCCCCCATTGGTTAACCAATTAAACACTGCTTTTAACCAGCTAACTGATTAAATGGGATTTTACTTCCCTAATGTGTAGGCAACTTTTGTACCACAATGCCATAGAGAGGAAATAGAGAACTGTTCATTTTAACCGTGTGGGTAGCCTATTCCATGTAATAAAAGCTCATTGATAATTATCAGTATGGTCTAGGGTTGATGTTACAGGTTGAACCTCTATAATCCTGGACTCTCTGGTCTGGCAAGGATCATGGATGTTGCAGGACTAGAGAGCCCCAGAGACAAAGGTTGCCAGCAGCTTGGAGCGGAGCCTGCCAGTGGGTCCAACAGGGCAGTGGATCCCACGGGGCACCAGAGTCCACAGCTGGCGAGCCAGGCAAGCAGAGGGTGGGGTTCCAGAGCTCTTGTAGGATGGCGGGGCTGCCACGAAGCTCTGGTGGAGATGCTGGCACACTTCCTTGTCCAAGACCAGTAAGACCCGAGAGGGATGGACCCGGAAGGTCCAACATGTAGCTGTGTTTAGGAAAATAGTGCTGGCAGTTTAGTCAGCTCTGCCTTAGTTATCTCTGCTCAGGTGTCAATTTTAGCTTGAGATAGTGTTCGCCACTCAGCTATCCTGGATGGATTTTTTTTTTCTTCCCTAGTGTTTGGTACTAGCTCCTACTCGAGAGCTGGCCCAGCAAGTCCAGCAGGTGGCTGATGATTATGGAAAATGCTCCAGACTTAAGAGTACCTGCATATATGGAGGCGCACCTAAAGGCCCCCAGATCCGAGACTTGGAGAGAGGTAAATGGTATACTTGTGTGTTTAAAAATTCACACAGTATTTTTAAGCCTATTTTGGGTAGGTGCTAAGCAGGATCACACCTCCATCTTCTGCTATAATTCATTCCAATTTTACTTCCAGTCATAGTGATTGTGTGTGTGTATAAGCGTTACAAGAGTTACCAGTTATACATATTTGTCTTACAACTTATTCAGATGGCTGTTTTTTTCCCTCCTCCCTTTTCTCTGTGCACTCTCCCCATACTACAATCTTCACAGTGAGGCATTCCTTTCTCTCTGTGTATTGGCAAGAAACCAGATTTATTGACTGTTCGTCAGTGTTTAGGATCTGCTGTCCCTCAGATTGAACCTCAGTTTCTTAGTATGTAGCGGAACTTTTTTTTAAAATACAAGTTTCCTTCAAATGTTTTTGTTCTCAGAGGTTTGCCTTCCTAAATGGTATCTTCCATTGGAACAAGGAGTGGAAGATAATTAGCCTAATTTCTGGAAGGTGCTCTACACTAGAAAATTAGGTTTGCAAAACTGTTGTTCGGGTGCAGGAAAAATTTACACCCCCTGAATGGTGTAGTTAAACTGACCTAAGTTCCTGTGTAGGCAGTGTTAGGTTGACAAAAGAATTCTTCCATCAGCCAAGCTACTGCCTCTCAGGGAGGTGTATTACTTAAGCCAGTGGGAGAACTCTTGATGTTGGTGTACATTTTGTCTACACTGAAACATTATACTGGCACAGCTGTGCTTTTGTTCCATGTTAAATGTGGACATAACTTAGGGCATTTAACTTCTCTACCCTATTTTTCCTCAAAAATAGTTACACCAAGGGGAATAAATGCCCTACTGTTTCTCGTCCTTCTGAAGCCATCCTTGGGTCTCTGGATGGGCCAGTCTGCATGGGCCTCTGAAAGGTGTCCTTTGAAGCATTTAGGAAGGCTGAATCCCCTCCACAGCAACCAGGAAGCTTTTCTTCCTGTGCCTGGTCAACATATCCTTTCTAATTGTCATCATTTCCACAAGGAGGGTTCAGAGCTAAGCATGCTCCCCAGAAAACAACACTTCTGTGTGGGTAACCAAGATAAAATAGTACCTCAGTCATCCTGTCTTCCAAAGGCCAAATTCATTGATTCAAGAGTATAGGGTTAATTTCATTCTGCCCCAAACCAAAGAATCATAGTGTGGAAGAATGGCATGAGTGCAAGATGGGTGGAGGGCTGCCAAGGTATATCTAAACTGCACAGACTTCTTCAGGAAATCCACATTGCTCGTACACAACCCTGCAGTCAAGAGAAAAACCTGTTCCAAAGCTTCAGTATTCCTGTGGATAAAGGCATGCATAGCAGAAGTCTAAAAGACAAAGGTGTAGTCCCACCACAGAGACTCTTCATGCAGTCTACTAGAGAAGCAGTGACTTCCTGGGTAGAAAGATCTGAAGTTGTAAAGAGATCTTGGAACCACAGCTTGGTCCCATGTCACACTTTTTCCATGTTACCTGCACAAAATTCTCACTCCAGGACCACCCACCCTTACCCATTCCCAGGGCTCAGGTGTAACCTTACCAATATAGGCACTCACCTTCACTCATTCCTAGGATTCAAGCATA